AGGGTTAGGGAAGCGGTTCTGATTGAGTTTCGTACTCTGAAGAAAGAGCGTGTCACTTATTTAGGTTGCTGATATTTTGGTTGTGGTTGGCGTGATGTTTGGTCTCTTTTCTTGATTCGTTGTTTTGGTTAATGCTTTTGTGCCGCGAAATGCGAAAAAACTTCATCCATGTGTAGAGCCCAAGTCCATGTCGCACGTTTGTACAACACTGGTTGTTCAGGATGCACTTTCGCGATGTGTTCCAATTGGAACGCGCGAAACAACACCTCTGCCATCCTGTCGGGAATGCACCGACACGTGCTCGAGATCACTTGTGACTGCTCTTCTTACTTCTTCTCTTGCTTCTCTTTTAACCCTCACGATCTCTTCTCTTATGTATCGTGATTGCTGAAGCATTCGCCCTTCCCGCCAAAAGCATTCCGCAGCCGTCAAAGTTTTAAAAGATAATGAACGCCCTTTTCTTTGTTCATTATCCCTGAGTCAAGGAGCTATCTATGAAAGGGCATCTATGATGGCTAATGACTTGCGGCTTGTAACCGTCTTCCAAAGGAAACTAATTCCGAACAATGAAACTATTCAAGAAGTTGCTGTTGGTATGGTTCAACCATCAGCAGACCCAGTGATCAAGAAATCTTCTTATGCTGATATATTGAAGACTAAGTCAGATAAGAAAGTCCCAATGAAGCAAATCGTGAGCAATGAACGCACTCTACCCCTACCTGAAGACTTAGCTAACCAAAGTCTGCTCGGCGATATCAGACGTGAGGTAGGCAAATATTATGGTACTGATGTATATGAGATGTATGTTAGCCTAGATAAGATCTATAACAAGTTGCTGAAGTTGGGAGTCTCACCGAGCTGGGAAAATATAAAAGCGGTGCGAGAAAACAAGGCTGCATTGAATAGATTGGTTCATGATGAGGAATTGAAATACTACGAGAAAGCCTCCCAACGAGCACCCACTCTTGCTGTAGAAATCCCCGCTGAAGTGGTGGTGCCTAGACCAGAGAATAGTTTCAAGCGTTGGGCTCGTAGGGCTGGATTACCGGAAATCCCAGCAGATAAGCTGTTTTTAGCAGAGCACCCTGGCATCTTGATCAAATGTAGGATCATCCGTGTTGTGAAGCGTGCATTATGGATCTTAGATCATACACGGGAGAATCCTAGGCGAATCTATCGAACTTATTTGGAAAAGTACTTATCTTGGGTCTCAGCATGGGATTCTCATTACTTCGATCATTTTAAAGGTAACCATATACCGCATATCCCTATTAGGTATGTGAATGCGATTGTGGAAAAAGGACCACTCAAGAAAATTTGGTTTGGGTCGGCCACCGCATTACGTATCTTTGAATTGGTGACTTTAGAGGATCGTTGGGACAAGAATTGCATGCTTTTGGTCTTTGCTTACCATACTGATGTTAGCATACAAGCACGAGCTATATCAGTATTATCATCTATAACGCATTATATGGCTAGATCTATCATGTGGGCTACAAAGAAAAGATCTGATTTACCCATCCTGCGTATTAGTGATAGCGTGAGTTTATCGGCATATTATGACGTAGATGTTATCAGAGGCCGTATGTCCGATTGTTTTGACAGGATATTGATCGGCCAGAACGTATTGCCGGTATATTTCGCCACGCGGTTCAAGAACAACGACCATGCGGCTTGGTTGAGTGCTTTATTGAAGCAAGTTAAGATCTCAACTAAGGTACAGGGATCTGCTGTTAATTACCTTCCCAAATCGTATCGTAGAAGTTTAGGAATAGATGTCTTTTGCTATTACACCGGGGTGAGACGTGAGAATTTGTTTAAGCATAGATTTAGGTGTGATCGAGAATTGCTTAGCAGATTCTTGGAAGCAGGGGACGTCCACCCAAATCCAGGGCCCGCCCTCCGTTTATCTATTATGAGGCGACGTTTGAGGGGATTATTTCGTAGAAGACAGAGCCCTAATTTGGAGAGTGCAGATGAGGAGAACACAATGAGACCTCTCGCAAATCCCGAAGTATATTACGCCAATTTGTCCTGGCGTAATCGAATGCTGACATACGATGACGAAGGATTGTGTTTGGATATAGATCCTATGTTCGTGGTCGGCAACCGGGTTGAGGGGTCATTATCTTCTGACCTGACGGGAGCATGTACTAGTGTATACAGGTCATTTGCCTCTCATGTGGTCACTGTGTTTGGGGACATCTCTTCAGAACGGGAAGGTTCAATATGGATTGAGAGAACTTTCTTACCTGAAGTGTTATTTTGCCCCAGCAGTCGGTCATCAGTCGATGGCCCAATGGAGACTACGAGTGTTTCAGAAGTTCGGGAAACTTCTGAGATAATAGAATTAGGTGCAGATGGGGACCTCAATCAAGAATTTGATGTCAGCTTACCATCATGCGATATGCCTGATGACCCACCCAAGGAACCTTTCTTAGCGGGGTTTTTAAAACCCAGATTTGTGTCAGACCCGATGCACATTGAGGAAATTTACATAAGAAAGTTTAATGCTCAGGGATGTCATGTGTTCAGGGACCCAGATTTCGTGCAGAGGATAAATTCAACTTATAAGCCCATGAAACTGGGGTTCTGGCGTAGCTGGAGGTGCTTACGTGATATTACTTGGAGAGGCTGGTTCAATAATCACTTCTTTGATCTTTTTTTGGAAGATCGAGATCCGCTTATGAATGTCAAATTGAATAAGTTAACAGCTGCTCAATTGGCTAGGAGGATCAAGGAACATCCCGACGATCAGCAAGTGTCGATTGCTCTGTGCAGGATTTTGAAACGGACAGAAGTGGTAACCCACTTCTATGTCGTAAGCACAGCTAGACACTTGGGCAATGTCAGATGTAAGCTCGCTCGTTACGGTGTTAACAAACATCACATGGTATGTAGCATGGATATATTATATGATGAAGTTGTCCCTTTAATGCTGGCGCGGAGCGCTGTCGATACATTCAGGGGCCATGATTTCAGAGCCAATGTGAATAGGGTCATGTCAGTACAAGGTTCTTGGAGGGAAATGCTGGGTGAGGATGATGATTTCTCATACCAGCATAGGAACAGAGCTCTCACTCTAGCTTATACTTTAGCTAGATTGAATCAGGCTACTACGTCGGAGATGGGAAATTGGTGAGGGTCGGTCGTCTGTTGCGTTATCACGGTTATTTAGTGGATTTGACGAAGGATAATTGCAACGCTGCCGGAGAAGATGTCACTGCCAAGGTCAAGAAGCATAGGATGATTAGACGAGATTTATACCCGATGAAACCTATCGGCTTCAGACCCTATTATGCTAATATCATGGATGTGGAAGGAAATTTGTTCACACGATTCCATCCAGATAAGCATTATTGGCAGAATCAATTGGCAGCTGTGTCTCATAGGTATGGATGCAAGATGCCCGACCCAGCTAAGAGAGAAATAGCTGAGTTTTCGAATTTTGTGCGGAAAAGGTTCAAATTCTTTGATAAGTGTCATGACTGGCATTCGCATGATTCATGGCTCGAAACATCAAATTACAATGAAGCTCGAAAACGAGAGCTCTATGAGGGGTTCATAAAAGATTCAATTAAATGGTCCCATAATAATAAGAGCTTCATAAAGGATGAAGGCTATGATGAATATAAAATGCCTAGAGCCATCAATTCTTACAGTGATTCGACCAAATACTTTTTAGGCCCTTACATCAAGAGTCTAGAAAAGAAGTTTTTCCGCAACAAATTTTTTGTGAAGGGCAAATCTAACCGGGAGAGAGATGAGGTCCTAAGACACACTTTCGGTGATTCTAAGGTTTTATATACGGATTTTTCACATTTTGAATCACATCATAGAGGAGTTTATGCTCAGTTGTTTGTTGATTTTTTGTACTATATGGGTGGGGATTGTTTAGAATTCCAAGCCGCTAGACACCTTATTTTAGGTTCAAATAAATCAACTTTCAGCTCGATTGAAGCTTCTTGTAAGTCGCGTCTAATGTCAGGTGCTTTATGGACTAGCTTTCAGAACTCTTTTTTGAACTTCTTTGTAATGGCTTACTTGAATTATAAAAAGACAGCTGTTAAGCGTCAATTCAGGATTGAGTCATTAAAGATGTTCATTGAGGGAGACGATGGCATCATGAAGCATTTTAATTATAATAACAGGATCATTAAGAGGTTGGGATTATGCCTGAAAATAAACTCAGCAGAACATTTTTCTTTAGCATCTTTTTGCGGCAGGGTGATATCGCAAAACGCATGTTTTACAGAACCCACGAAAGCTATAGACAAGTTATGTTGGTTTCCTATGCGGATGCACTCAATGAAGGAGAACGCCCGTCGTGCAGTGTTTAAAGCCCGGGCTATGTCATTATTGGAGAATAATGAAAATTGTCCGATTTTAGACCCACTAGCACGCAAGATCATCCAGATGAATAGGAACATAGATGCCAGAGTTGCTTTGAAGCACTTTTCTGCTTATGAGAGAGACATCTTGCAAGACTTCGATTTCAGTCCACGGAAACTGGATCCAAGTGATATAAGCTATGAGAATCGTGTTTTGATGGAGCAATTGTATGGGATCACCGTAGACCAACAGATCTGGTTCGAGGAAGAGATCCTCCCGAATTGGGAGTGGGGTCAGGTACTCAGATTGACATGGGACGCCCCTAGAACTTGGATAGAAAATGCACAAGAGACCGATCTGGATAATGAGTCTTATGGTTTCATAACGAATCTAACTTCGAGGGATCAGACCAGACGTTTGCCTTGCCATATCATAAGGCTGTTTGAAGACGCCAGTGCTGATGAGACAGATAGAAGCTGTCTCTCTAGATGAGTTGCGCCTAGTCTCGATGTATTTCGATGTATCGAAAACGATTTGTTTGATCCTTCGTTATGATCACATAATGAAAGGTGTATTTTAAGTGCTGAGTAGCGCTGTATTTTAATGGTTTTGTTGTTCTAGGCGCTGTTCCACTAAGTGGGATAGCTGCCGCTGCCGATAGGGGGCGCCTTTGAATACCCTATTTGACGAATTTCGACCAAAGAGAGAGGCGCTTAGGCAATTCTCTCGTCGAGGTTTTTTTTTTTT